ATCACCCGATCAGTCCTATCGCTTCCTTCAAACAATCTTCTCCAAAACTTCTCTTTCACTTCGGTCCTCATTGGACTACTTGTTACTGTTTCTAGCGATTCCTTAGTGGTCTTCAAGTCCTTTTAAGGGCATCTAAAACTCGGCTAATACTCTGGGAGGTGGTGGGCAAAGCAGAGCTTCGCCCTCGGTCCAGTGTTTCCCTCAGTGAAGTCCAGTTGAGTCCGGTTTCTGTTCTTGATAAGTTAGGGGCAGGGCTTAGTAATAATTGAATTCTCTTTAAGGCTCTTCCCCCATGGTTTATCATTGTGAATATGAATGGAACTCCCTCTATACCCGTTTATTGAGCCTTAAAGGCCTGTTTAAACCTCCTTTAATGGTATCTATCATGAGGTTGTTCAAAACGTTAGTTTTGTATTACTGAATTTGAAGTATTAACAATACGTATTCAGATTAAGGTCTGCCCCTTACTAAATTCCTTGAAGGAATTTTGGGGCAGGGAAGGAAGGCCGCAGAGAAGGATCGTTACCCCCTTCAATTCCCCCCCGGGCGGCTCCTTGAAGACTCCAAACTATTTACCCCTCCAACCCGGAGACCGCCCTTCTGCCGCTTTCCCCGCTCCCTAAGTCTGATTGAAGCTCTCGAGCCCGTTCCGAAGTGGAGGATTGGATTAAGCTTCCTGTTTGGTTGGCGTTCAGTCTTTCTGGATATTTTTCTGAGAATGAAAAGAATAAATAAATGCTGCGAGGCATGGTTTGGTTTACCCTACGAGGCTAAGCTCTAGTCTCTTTTGACACCGGTCCCGTATTCACCACGGTTATCTTATTTTATTACCACAAAGTTATCTGATTCTAAAAAAGACAAGCAAAAAGAAATACGGGATTTTATGCGAGGAAAGTCAGTCCCTCTGCACTCTAAAGACCGACGGATTCTCTCTCTTCTGCGTACGGCCTACGGCTATTCACTCCTTCCATCTCCTTCGGGCAAGCAACCAAGGAAGAGAAAAAGCCAAACATGAAAGTTAGCTGCTGGGAAAGTGGGGAGTCAACCTACGAGCACGGAAGAGCGTGGTACCGCTACCCCTCTCTAAGTAAAGGTAAGATTCTTAGCCCTGTTGATGACTCCATCTAAAATACAATAGGGACAGCCGTTTCCGGCTGCTCGTTTCGTATCTTGAAGAAAGAGTAGGCTTAAGTAATAGGGGTCAGGTCAATAATAGCTATGCTATTGCCCTACTGATTTCAGGCCTCCGCCCGATCCCGAGGATAGGAAGAGTCAGATGATACCTTTTAGTTAGGCTCAATACCGATGAAAGAGGGATCTTTAGGAACAAAGCGTGCCGAAGCAAGAGGAATGAGCTACCTTTGATACGGACGGATTATCCCCCACCGATGAAAAAGAAAGAATAGGCTAATTAGAATACTAGAACAAGAAATGACAAATAAAAACAGATTCTTACTATCTATAAAAAATAGGTGAGTGTCAAGTGTACAATTCATAATCTACTTTTAAAGCTTGTGGAGTTGCTTGTACAATGATAAATCTGAAATAACGTATTAACGGATTTCAGATTTATCTACGCGATGTGGTGGTTTATTTCTGATTTCTCCTTGGACATCTTCTAGCCGTACATTATTTGATCTGGCTTTAGCCGTTGTTTGTTGCTCTACGAGCCGTTGATAGTTGCCCTGGCTCTAACGAGCCGTTGCTTGTACGTTATTTAGATTTGGGGGATTTTGTATTTTGTAATTGTCATTGGCCTTGGCCTTGGCCATTGGCTTTGCCTTAGCCCTGGCCTTGGGTTTCCCAATCCTGGTATTGGCATTGGCTTGTCTTTCTAGTGGACTGAGAGAGCGAGCTCTAATCTAAATTCTAAAAAAAGACTCACATACTTCATTCTTAATTGAATGTACGATCTTAGAATGGATGCACAGAATCCACGATAAGAAATGTCCCTTAGACTCTAATCGTCTTCTTTCGTTCTTCTTAACCGAAAGGATATCTCATTCATTCTATTCGGATTCGGGATCTTTAGTAAGGTAAACAAAAGGGCTAAGGACTGGAATAGGCTTTCAACCTACGACCGAAGTAAAGGACTTCCCTCTGTAAGAGTCGAGCTTTCCCTTTCCCCTCCATACACTACTTTTTAAGCATATGGGAGACCAAAAGCCATATCTACTACCTACTCAATATCTCATCTCCCCTCTTTGGCTTATGATATAGAGCTGGTTTATTTGATACTGCTCCTTTACCTTTCAATGAAATGCTTTCAATACTCCTATTCTCATAAGAGTGCTTGACAGAGACAGGGCTGTCTGTAACCTTTCTCCCAAGGGCTGAAGTGCAAGATAACTCCCAAGATAAGGCCTATATGGGCTCGCCGGAGGAGTAGAAGGAGAATTTTCGTAGGGAGAATTTCACTATGAACTCCTCGGACAATCCTAAGTAAGGAGCAAATGAACTTAACTTTCAAACTTGGCTTTCTCGCTGGCTTGAGATATGTCCTATGACTACCACTTTTTCGGAATTTTGATTCGGACATCTTTTGAATTGAATTCAGAAGCATTTAATGCCAGATCTTCGACTAAGGATTTTTTGAAAAAACCCAAAACCTACCGGCTTTGACAGTGGCCGGAGGCCATCGGAACAGATCTCTCACTGGTATACCGAAAAGCACAAAAAAAAGAATTCATCCGAAGCGGCAGGTTCTCCCCTTTCTCAGTAGGGCCCGAAATCCAGAAGTGTTTTGATGTTCGGAGAAGCCTTTGCGTCCATATATTGAGATGGATGAAGGGCTTCCGGCAAAGCACCAGGGGGTAGCTCCCGCACCCGTTCCTGTTCACATACACATGTCGGCGTAGGTAGCTGTGTCACGCTAAGTAACTGATAGATTCTCTCTCAATTGAATTACTCCCCTATGGTGTCTCTTTGCAAAGAGGTTTGTTTCGGGCTTCAATGATTAGTACTTGGATCTTAGTTCTACATGATGCCGGAATTGGATCTACTATTAAGGATTGTTAAAGGACAACTGGCGCAAGTCTGCAAGATGATTAAGAGCTTGCGTGAGTGTTATGCCGGTCTCTCAGCCCGTTCATAGAGAATCCTTTTCCGAATCTTTCAACCATTGTGACCCCCTGGAGAAGGAGGATTCCCACTTCCATAGTGAAGGCATAGTATGAGGTACTGCCCGGTTCTCTTCTACCCTATCCACACCGCCCATCTATGCTGATCGAGAGCCCGACCCATGGCTGTGCGCTAGTTCCAGGAGCTATAAACTAAAAAAATATGGGAAAGAGTACAACGGGCCCCTTCATTGATAAAGTAGGCTCGCCTAGAGAGGATAGCTTATCTAGGAAAGGAATGAAAAGGCAAATGGTTTCCTAGGAAGGAGATTGGTGGTTGGTCGACTAAAGGTTTAGAGTTAGCGGCTAAGTCGAAGGCAGCACATAAGCGCTATTCATTCTCGTTTCCTCTGTTTGTTGCGAGAGAGCTAATCGAACGGGAGGGCACTAAACCTTATGTGTGTGAGGAAGGGCGAGTGACGAAGAAAGAAGTGCCATGAGCAAGCAAAATGAGAAGTATGATTGAAAGTTGTTGCCCTTTACCTTAACCGCTTATATACCAGAGCAAGCAATAAATCTTCTATTTCTGGGCGGAAGTCAGGCAAGGCGTTTGAAACCCTCCTGATCGCTCTTATCGGTTGCACTCATTCCCATCCTCCCTACGTCTTCATCTTCAAGACGAGCTTCTTCCTGTTTTTAGTTTGACGAGTGAAGGCTCCCAGAGATCTTCCTTCAATGAGGCATTCTCAAACTCCTTTATTTCATTTCTCATACCGGCACTTTAGAAAGTCCTAAAAAGCGTGGAATGAATATGGTAGAGTGCAAGCGCGACACATAGCAGGTGCCTGCAGATTGGATTTCATTGGCAGGGGCAACTTACCTTATTAGATAGGGGGGGAAAGCGAGAGCTTCAAGAACAAGGCGCGATTGGAAAGGAGCGACATTCGTATACATATATAACCAACCTCACAGATCCAACTCAATCTTTTACACCGATGTATGTACTCTCGCGACCAGGTCATCAATAAAAAACTGCTAATCTTTCCGAAGTGAGAGAAGGAGGGAAGACGCGCTACAACTAACATAACAGCGCTGAAAAGTTGCTAGCTAGGCTAGCGCGCAAATGGCTTTCTCTGATAGGGGCCTTCGCTTCTTCAAGCTCCGCCCAACCATACAAGGTGCTGCTCGCTTTCTCTCAGCCACTAGTGCTTATGTATGGTCGGCATTTCTACGTGCTCCTCCTTAGCCCCCTACTTAAGAATCCAAAGTTACTTTGATGTTGTCGTGACGCCTTTGGTTACAAAGGTTACCGGGGTCTAGTTTATGGATGGATTCAGTCAGCGAAAGTCCCTCCAACTCAATCAATATCAACAACATGTCGTGACCGGTTAGGCTTGGTTATTTTTTCATAAAATAAAGTAGTTTTCGGGGCTTCATTGATTAGTAACTCAGGTGCTGGTAAGGTGGGACCGTGGTCGCCCGTCTCCGGTTTGCCGGCCGATAAGATCTCTGAGATGACCAGCCAGCTGGGTTTGGTTGTGCTATTCTTTTTATTGAAAAGGAGTCAGCTGTGCTGCGAGCGGTCACCTCTTCTAAGGCTCCGCTGGACGACAGCGGATTTTCGTTAAATATAGGCCGGCCGTACTTGTGATGGTTCCCAAGGATCCAATATGACCACTTAGGTCTACGTTGCCGATATTTTTCTATGGAAGCGGGCCGGTTAGAAGTTCGGCCCGGTTTTTTTGGTGTCGTAGGGAGGGGGTTGACCTTTCTAACGCTATTCAGTCGTCGCGGCATGGCCCCCACTGATTTGTTTTCGATCGGAACATCAAGCAGCGCAATCCGGTTCTACTTGACTAAGCCCGTGCTCTCTTCCAGGAGAGAGTATTGCTTTACCCAAACTCTTTTGCGATAACAAGGCAGAAATCCCCCGCCGACACT